AAAAAGCTCTATTGAGGTGTAGCTTATGTACCATATAGTTTACTCTTTTAAAGTATCCAGTTCGTTGGTTTTAGCATACTCAGGGATCGCAGTGGTCACCCTAACTGCAGGACATTTAGTCTCCTCAAAGGGAGATGCCCTGCCCTGTAACTGCTGCCCCTCTGGTCCTCTCTCGTGCACCTCCCCCGCCCCCCCAGCACGTACTCCCGCCTCTGCCTCTGGATTTGCCCACCTCAACGTTTCCCATCAGTGCAGTCTGCAGCCTGTGACCTCTGGGGTCTGGCTTCTCTCATCGGGCCCCGTGACCCCATGTTTGCAAGCTTCATCCAGCCTGTAGTGGTTCTGGGCCTCTCTTTTCTTTTTAGGATTAATAATTCGTTGTATGGATTCTTGTTATTCTGTGTAGCTCAGTGTAAACACTTTTTCTTGCTGTGGGGCTGGGTATGCCACGTAGGGCCTCCTGTTGCTCCATGACTGGGCTCCTCCTGCAGCTGGCCGTCCCGTTTACTCTGAAAACGAGCCCAGGAAGTATGGTTTCCATTTTGCAGGTGAGGAATATGCGGTGAAAAAGCTAGATGACTTGCGCAGGTCACAGAGCTGGTAGGAGTAGAGCTTTGAGCTGTCCCTGACCCATGGGGGCTCCCGACTGTGAGCGTGTTTTGCTCAACACAAGTTGCTCACCCTTGCCTTTTTCTCTCTCCTCCACCATTGGGAAGCATGGTAATTGGGCAAATATTTGTTGAGAAGTCTCTTAAAAGTCCATTTGATTGTCGCTCCTGAGACTCTGTGTTTAATATTGACTTACATTCCTGAGCGTGTTTAAAAGCATTAATTAGCTTACAAAGGTAGAGGATAGTTTGACTTTAGAAATTACTCTCTATGAAACTTTGACTTTTTTTTTTTTTCCTGAGATAGGGTCTCACTATGTACCTCAGGCAGGATTGAAACTCTGAGTGATCCCTTTGCCTCTCAGCCTGAGTCCTGGGATTTCAGGCATGCGCCACCACACCCAGTGAAACTCAGTGACTTTAGAAATGTATGAAGGAGATCTTGCTGGAACTGGAGAGGATTCCTTTGAAGCATATGCCATCCATGATGAACTTTGTCGTTGGTGGGGTTTTTTTGAGACAGAATCTTAACTGTGCAGCTCAGGCTGGCCTCAATCCTCCTGCCTCGGCCTCCCAAATGCTGGGATTCCAGGGAAGTGCCACCATAACTAGCTTTATTTGTGTGTTTTGAAAAGCATTTTATTTGAAATAATTTCAAATCTACACAGAAGATGAAAAGGACTCCTGTTTATTTTCACTGGTATTTACCAGTTGACATTATACTATAATTGCCTATCTCTTTTTCTAGTTATACACACAAATAAACATGTATTGCAGTTTTTATATGTGTGTAATTGTATATAATTCTTTTTCTCCTGAACCATTTGAGATTAAGTTGTAGACATAATGTTTTACTTCTCAAATGCTTCAGTGTTTATTTTCTAAAACAAAGATCCTTAGTCACAGCTTTACTGTATGTCATTAAAATTTATATTATACTGGGTGTGGTGGTGCATACCTGTAGTCCTAGCTGCTTGGGAGGCTGAGGCAGGAGGATCAGAAGTGCAAGGCCAACCTGGGAAATTTAGTGAGGTGCTATATCAAAAATAAAATATGCGGGATGTGGTGGCACATGCCTGTAATCCCAGCCCTACTGAGGCTGAGGCAGGAGAATTGCTGTGAGTTTGAGGCCAGCCTGGAGTACATAGTAAGACCCTGTTGCAAAGCACCAACCAAAACAAACCAAACCAAACCAAACCAAACGAAACGAAGCCAAACCTTATGACGGTACTGCTGTTGCACCTTTAGATCCCACTCAGATTGGTTCAGCAATGTCCTTTATGGCACGAGATGAAAAGAAAAGCTGATCCTTTTGCACCTCTTTCTTCTCATCCATGGTATTGTATAGCATCATGCAGTGCATTACCTTTTGTGTCTTGCTGTTGGTCTTTAATCTGAATACTTCTTTGCCCTCCACCCCATTCTTTCATGGTTATGATTCTTTTGGAGACAGGGTCTCACGGTGTAAGCCAGGCTGTCCTTGAACTTGTGATCCTTCTGCCTCAGCCTCCCGAGTACTGGGATTATAGGCTGAACTACCCGGCCTGGCTATTAGTTTTAGTGTTTAGAGAATCTCCCTACTGATTTCCATAGTGGTTGTACTAGTTTACATTCCCACCAGTAGTGTTAGAAGGGTTCCTCTTCCTCTACAGCTTCACTAGCATTTGATTTTGAGCTCTTGGTGACTGCCTTTTCTTTCTTTCTTGAGTAGGATGGAATCTCAGTGATGTTTTTTTCTTTTTTTTTTCGGGGCCGGGAATCGAACTCACGACCTCGCTCTTGCCAGGCAGGCGCTGTGCCGCTCTGCTAAATCCCCAGCCCCTCAATGTTGTTTTGATTTGCATTTCTTTAATGGCCAAAAGTGCATTTTAGCCATTTTTAAGTGTATGGTTTGGTGGCATTAAGTACCTTTATGTTAGCTAGGCTGGTAGTGCACACCTGTAATCCCAGCTATTAGGGAGGGGGAGGCAAGAGGATCGCAAGTTTGAGGCCAGCCTGAGCAATTTAGTAAGACCATCTCTCTAGAAAGGGTGTGGGCAGCTGGGGTTGGATCTGTTACCTCGCATGTGGATGCCCTGGGTTCAGTCTCCAGTGCTGCTACAAGCGAACAGGAAACAAGTGTATTCTCATTGCTGTGTGAGCATCACCACTGTCCATCCGAGAGTGTCTTCATCTTCCCTGATTAAAACCCTACCCATTAAACCCGAACTGTCTCTGTGAATGTCACTACTCTCGGTTCCTCACAGAAATGGAATTGTATACTATTTGTTCTCTTACGACTGACTTACATTACTTAGCTTATAAGTTTTCTTCCACTTTTCAGTGTTATAAATTAATTTATTTATTTGACTTTTGTGCTACTAGGGATTGGTTGAATGCAGAACCTTCTCACTGAGCCACGTCCCCAGATGTTGTATTTTTTACTTTGAGACAGGTTCTCACTAAGTGGTTGAGTTACTCATGATGGTCTTGAACTTACAGTCTTTCTACCTCAGTCTCCCATGGTCCTCAGATTATAGATGTGGGCCACCCGGCCTGGGTTACCTTTATTTTAAAATTTCTTTTGGTCTTTTTGAGACAGGCTTGTGCTCTACAGTTCAGGCTGGCCTTGAGCTCAGTTTGTAGTCCAGGCTGGTCTCGAACTCACGGTGATCCTCCTGACTCAGCCTCCCGAGTGCTGGGATTACAGGCGTGCGCCACCAGGTACCGAAAATCGAAAATCGAACTCAGAACCTTGTGCTTTCCAGGCAGGCACTTGTGCCACTGAGCTGTGTCCCCAACCCTGGGTTACCCTTAAAAGAATTTTTTTTTGAAACAGGGTCTTGCTATGCAGTTTAGGCTGGCTTTGAGTTTGTGGTGATCCTCTTGCCTCAGCCTCTCAAGTGCGGCGTGCACCACCATGCTTGGCAAGTTTTGGGGTTTTTTTTTTGTCTTTTTGAGACAGGGTCTCGCTATGCAGTTCAGGCTGGCCTTGAGCTCACTTTGTAGCCCACGCTGGCCTCGAACTTGCACCGATCCTCCTGCTTCAGCCTCCCGAGTGCTGGGATTACAGGCATGTGCCACCATGCCAGGGAAGTTTTTGATTTTTTGAGATAGGGTCTCGCTATGCAGTCCAGGCTGGCCTTGAACTCATTATGTGGCCTTGAATGTGTGGTGCTCATCAGCCTCTGGAGTGATGGGATTGCAGGTGCAAAGCCACCACGCCCAGCTCTGGCTCACCTTTTAACTCTTGTAAATACTGCTACTATGAACACAGTATACGAAATATCTTTTTAAATCTTTCTCTTCAGTTGTTTTGGGTATATACTCAGAAGTAGAATTTCTTTTTTTTTTTTGTCTTTTTTGAGACAGGGTCTCCTTTTGCAGTTCAAGCTGGCCTTGAGCCCAGGCTGGTCTTGAACTCGCAATGATCCTCTTGCCTCAGCCTCCCGAGTGCTGGAATTACAGGCATGTGTCACCATGCCCAGCCAGAAGTAGAATTTCTGAATCGTGTTTCTGTGTGTAATTTTTTGAGGGACGTTTGTTTTAAAAATTATATAGATTCTGTAGATTTCCTGTTGTACAGTATTCATGAGTTATAACGTGTTAATATCACTGTTTATTGTGAGCTACAAATTGTCCCTACTTGGGTCAGTGGGAGGCCTTTCAAGTTGGCTGCTTAATGCTTTTGACGTGTCCACATTGGAGTACTTCCACCGTGCCACAGCAAGATGTTCTACGCTCATCTTTTATTGCGCTGGTCCTGGAGTCGGCCATTTCTTTGAGGAGTGCAGTTCCTTTTATTACAGAATGGTGGTTAGAATCGACTGGAGTGTCATTGCTCTCAAGCCTTTGTACAAGAGAGCTGGGGAGTCTATGCATGTGTGTAGAGGCATCCATTCTGTCTGTGTCTCCTTTTCTTGCTAGGGATTGAACCCTGGTCCTCACATGCCAAGTGTATGTTCCGCCGCTGAACTACAAGCCTGACCCTCTTGCAGTCTCTAAGCGGCCTGTCCGCAGTTTACGTATATTGCATTTCCTTTAAATGGCCCAGGTTTATTCTAGCTTCTCCCAGTCCATCAGTGAGAGGACCCCTCCTGTTAGCATCGGCGGGTTTACTTACCTGTTGAGTGGCTTGAATTTCGCTTCCTTTACTTTGGCCGGTCTTGCGGGCCTCGCCCGTCTAGTGCATGGTGTGGATAACCCTGGCCCCAGTCCCACTGACCTTGGCGCTGTCCCTCTCCTGTCACAGCATTCCGGGGCCCTGCGCAAGAAGATGGGGGGTGACCTGTGGAGAAGGGGTGGGGCAAGGAGGGCCTTTTCCTCACCCCCCCCCCCCCCCCCGCCGTCGTGGCCTGCAGAGATGTGCTGCAGAGTCCCTTGTTTCTCACTGCGCTTGCTGTTCTTTTAAAGATGGTTTCACCCAAACATCACTGGCGTGGAGGCGGAAAACCTACTGTTGACCAGAGGAGTGGATGGCAGTTTTTTGGCGAGGCCCAGCAAAAGTAACCCCGGAGACTTCACGCTCTCGGTTAGGTAAGTGGGAAGGAGGGAGAGAGGAGGGAGGGGTGGGAGGCTCCTACAGGAGAGGGCGGAGCCACGCCCGCCGGCTGCCCTCCTGCCTCCTTGGGAGCGTTGGGAGCTCAGGGCCTCTGGGTCGTGGCCTGCCCTCCCAGAGCCAGAGCTGGCGACAGCGGCTCCCTCCTGCCTGGAGAGACCTCTGGTCAGGGACCGGTGCGGGGCCTGGATCTACGCAGCTTGAACCGGGTTCCTGCATTGTTCCTTTCCCAGCTGTTGATTTCTTCGTGGGAAAAAGACTTGGTAAGGGTTTCTTCAGATCACTTTCCTTTGTCAAGAAATAAAACAGGACTGAGGAAGTTGTGGTCCCCTTTGTTCCCCTGCGCAGTCCCATTTCCCTCCCTCTCTCCCCAGAGGAAACCCCTTCCAGAGGTTGGCTTAGATCCTGCCTAAACATGTTTTTTTACTCCACTGCATTTGTACCCTGTACGAGCAGTCGAAAGTTGGCTTGCTTGCATCTTTTTAAACTTCGCATGGGTGGTTCTGTAATCCTGTGTAACATTTTGCACTTTAAAACATTTTTTGAGTCCTGTGCTTTTACAGATACATCTGACTATTCATCGTACTAGCCATTTCATAGTCAAATGGTGTGAACATTCCATTTTATCCATCGGGCGATGGATGTCTAGTGATGGACATTGGGTTGGTTTTCAATTTTTATGACCAGTGTAGTGGACATCCTGTAATATATCTTTTCCCTTTTTTTTCTCTTTTTTTTGTCTTTTTGAGATAGAGTCTCACTATGCAGTTCAGGCTGGCCTTGAGCTCACTTTGTAGCCCAGGCTGGCCTTGGACATGAAGCAGTCCTCCTTCCTTAGCCTCCTGAGTGCCGGGATTACAGGCGTGTACCACCATGCCCGGCCTGCTGTTACATATTTCTTTGGGCAGATGTCGGGAGAGTTTTTCTAGAAACTGATTTCCTCTTCATTTATTTTCCCTATTCTAGCTCATTCTTGAAGCTAGAACTGAAATTGTTTTATAAATTCACAGTTTAAATCATTATTATTTTAAGTAAAGAGGTAAGACATGCTCTTGGGAATTTATGTGGAAGCTCTTTTGAGATTCAGGAAGTCCTTCTTGGCATAGATTAGTTTTTTGAGAAGTCCTTGTCATTGGCTTTTACTTCCATTTTACTATAAGGAGTGGGTAGGAGCAGTCACAAGCCCTCTGGCCTTCTCTTAGCAGAAGCTTCTAACCTAGCATGGGTGACATTTGAGCTCTGAGCTTGAGTAGAGATTATAGAATAGAGGATGACAGCAGCATGAGGACTGCGGTACGCCAGACATCATGCGCTCTGTACATCTTACTTTATTTAGTAAGCGCCGCTGTTAGCGCTATTTTGCAGGGCAGGAAGCTGAGGCAGAGTGAAGTTGGTAAACTAGTCTGACGTTGGTAAGCAGCACAGCGGACCATGGAACCAGCTTTTATTTTTTTTCTCCCTTTCCCCACTAACTTTATTTTAAGAAATTTCAGAGAAAAGTTGAAGGATGGATACAGTAAATACCCATATTACCTTCAGCTGTTAACATTTGTCATGTTGGCTTTTTCTCTTTTTCAGTGTGTGTTTATGTGCGTAATATACATTTTTTTTTTGCTAGATGTGGTGGTAGGATTATACTTGCAATCCCAGCTCTCAGGAGGCTGAGGCGTGAGGTTCACCTCAAGTTCAAGGGCAGTCTGAACTGCATAGGAGACCTGTCTAAAAATTTTTTTTACATATATATGTATGTGTATATATATATATATATATATACACACACACACACACACATATATATAAAATACATTTTCTCCCAAACCCTTTGAAAAGAAGTAACAGATGAAGATAATTATTTTCACTTCTAAATAGTTAAGTGTATGTGTCTTATGAGCAAGGATATTCTGCAAACTGCATAATATATTATTGTATTTGAGACTTTATTCTGTGGTGCTGGGGATTGAAAGGAGATTTTTAAAATAGTGATTGGACAGTATTATATAATAGGTAGTTTATATAAAAATTTACCTCATTAGCTGGGTGTGGTGGTGCATGCCTGTTACAATCCCAGCACTCTGGGAAGCTGAGGCAGGAGAGTTGCAAGTTCGAGCCCAACCTGGGCAACTTACCAAGACCCTGTGGCGCAGCATGGAGGTTTTGGGTTCCATCTCCAGTAGTGGGAAAAAAAAAAAAGATCCCTCATTATTGTAATAGGTTTATTTTTGATACCTCTTTACCTTTTATATATTTGTTTACTTTTGGGGTGCTGGGGTTTGAACTAGGGCCTCCCAAATGCTAGGCAAGTGCTCTACCACTAAGCTATATCCCTAGCCCAAAATTTGTGGGTTTTTTCCCATTCTTTTTGAGACAAGGTTTTTCTATGTAGCTCAGCCTGGCCTTGAGCTTGCTGTATATCTCAGGGTGGCCTTGAGCCACCGTTCTTCTGCCTCAGCCTCCTAAGTACTAGGATTATTGGTGTCCTTTACCGTGTCTGGCTCCTTGCCCCACATTTTTATATTGTTAATCCATATATAATAATTGCACATATTTATGGGGACTAAAACTCCAAACTCAGCCAGGTGTAATGGCGTACACCGTAATTTCAGCACTTGGAAGGCTGAGGCAGGAGGAACACGGGTTGGAAGCTACCCAGGGTCCATGGTGAGTTCAAGGCCAGCTGGACTACGTAGGAGACCCTGTCCCAAAAATCGGAAACCAAAAAAATTCCCCAAACCCAATCAAACAAAAACCCTCCAGATGCCTAGAAAGCCAGCTAAAGAGGGTGACTTAGTGCATTTAATTCGTATGTTTTTTAAATTTTTTTTTTGTTTTGTTTTTTTAATTTGTATGTTTTTGCTCTGCTTTATTCTAGAACAGCTCCCTCTCCTGAGCTTTTTAACCTAAGTTTTAGTTTTTGGCTTTTGGGCATTTGCTAGTTAGGTTAGTTACTTCAGAGTTTGTCCCCAAACTGGCCTTTCCTCATTTTTAGGTTTAAGTATTTTTGAAAAGCATACTACATTGTCGAGGTTGGACCCACCTCATTGTTGTATATCAGAAGGCGCATAAACTGTGTTTGTCCTAGCTTTTGGTTATAGTCACTTTAATCTCTTGGTAGAGGTTTTGCTGAATTTTTCCATTTAGTTACATTTTTCTTTTTGTAATTAATAAGTGATCTGTGAGAGAATAGTTTATGAAGTATAAATATCTTCTTCCCTAACACATTTTTTTTTCCTTTTTCTGAGATAGGGTCTTGCTATATAGTTTAGGCTGGCTTTGACCTTCGTACATAGCTCAGGCTGACTTTGAACTTGCTGTAATCCTGCCTCAGCCTCCTGAGTGCTGGGATTATAGCTATGCACCACCATGCCCGGCTCCCTAAAACATTTCATGCAATATTTTTAGCATTTATTGGTGAATTTTATCTGAGTAAATATTATATTGGCTGTTGGAAATTTACTGTCTAATTGTTCTTTTTTTTTTTTTTAGGCAGGGGCTCACTATGTAGTTCAGGCTGGTCCTGAACCCACCGTGTAGTCCAGGCTGGCCTTGAACTCATAGCAATCCTCCTGCCTCAGCCTTCCAAGTGCTGGGATTACAGCATGGGCCACCGTGCCCCACTTCTAATTGTTATTTCTTCCACATTTATTGCTCAACATTCATCTATAAAGAGGTGCTCTAATCAGCCCCTATTCCTCCTAACCACTCCCCCTTTCCCAAGCTGGCCAGAGCTTTGTGCTTGCCAGGCAGGTGCTGTACCAGTGAGGTACACTCCCAGCTCTGTCCCCTTTTTTGAGTATCACTATGTTTTCTTTTTTTTTTTTTGGTTTTTGGTTTTTTTCCCCGGTACCGGGAATCGAACTCACGACCTTGCGCTTGCCAGGCAGGCGCTGTGCCGCTGAGCTAAATCCCCAGCCCCCTTTTTTTTTTTTTTGAGGCAATGTCTCACCATGCCATTCAGGCTGGCCTTGAACTTGCTTATGCAGCCCAGGCTGGCCTTGAACTCACAGTGATCCTCCTGCCTCAGTCTCCCAGAGTGCTCGGATTATAGGCTTGCGCCACCACACCTGGCTTTTCTTCTTTTTATCAAATGTGTTTATCAGATTCATTGGCATAGTTATTCTTTTTTATCAAATTGCCCCAGATTTGGTGAGTGTGCTGGCTTTATCTTTTTCACATTTCTCCAGTAGTCTTCAGATACTTCCTTGTTGTCTGGCTGAGACATTTCCGATGACTCTTGGGGTTTTCCTTTTCCAGCCTGGGAATCCCCCATTTCTCTCAGGGTCCTTGGCTCTTCTATTGGGAGATGGTGTTTAGAAGTGAACGTCTAGGTGCAAGGTGTGTTTGTGCTCCTGGGTGTCTTTGCTTCTAGATTCCTACAGTGAGTGAGTGGACAGAGCTGGGAAATAAATATTTATGTATTTAAAACTAAGTGTTCTTACTGATAGTTCTAGTTCAGTCCAACTTCCTCTTCTTCTCCCAGTACACATTTATACTTCCTGTCTCCTGTAGGAGAGCTGCTGTTTTCAATAGCATAATGTATGACCTCATTTGCCCGATTCTTTTTTTTTTGAGACAGGGTCTCCCTATGCAGTTGAGGCTGGCCTTGAGCTCACTTTGTAGCCCAAGCTGGCCTTGAACTTGCAATGGTTCTCCTGCCTCAGCCTCCTGAGTACTGGGATTATGAGTGTGAGCCACCATGCCCGACTCATCATTTGCCCAATTCTAAAATTAAAAAGTTTTAGAATTACTATACTACCATCTTATCTAATTATAAACCTAAATAAAGTTCTAGATTTCTTTGGAGTCATCTTGTTCATCGAATAAGGACGTCGTATTTATACTGCCTTCAGAATTTGCTAGAATTCATTTTTTGGATAGGTATGAAGTTATACAGATTCATTTCTTTCCATTTATATTTAGTTCTTTTGTCTTTATTGATTTAATTTGTATTTATTGAGCCTGTGAAACATGTATAGGATTCAAAATTCAAAACTGGCTGGGTGTGGTGGCGCATACCTGTAATCTCAGCACTCAGAAGGGTGAGGCAGGAAAATTGCTGAGAGTTCCAGGCTAGTCTGAGCTACATAAGCAGACCCTATCTCAAGAAAAAAAAAAGAGTCAAAATTCAAAACTGTATAAAAAGGCATATTCTGAGAACATTCATTCTTATCCCTACCCCTTGCACAAAATCTCCATCCCTGTAGAGATTAATTTCTACTAATTTTGGTTAATCTTTTGTGTGCGTTTTTTTTTTTTTTTTTGTTCTTAGCTAATGTCTTGCTGTGTAGTTCAGCAAGAACTGACTATGTAGCCCAGGCTGGCCTTGACCTCACAGCAGTAGTGCTGGTATTACAAGTGTGTGCCACCGCACCCAGTGCAAATATATATTTTTCTTGCTATTTTTTTTCCTCATCTGAGCGTGACCTTACTTATTTTTTTATCTGATACATTAAAAACATAAAAATGATGCATATTAGTGGGGTACTGTGTACTGTTTATTTTCCTTTTATTTTTGTATTTTTTTTTTGTCTTTCTGAGACAGGGCCTTGCTATGCAGTTCAGGATGGCCTTGAGCTCACTTTGTAGTCCAGGCTGGCCTGGAGCTCGCAGTGATCCTCCTGCCTCTGCCCTGGGATTACAGGTGTGCACCACCACGACCAGCTTATTTTTGTATTTGAAGTAGAATACTAACAATATTTTTTTTTTTTCCACTTAGAGAAATTTTTCATAAACTTTTTCATCTTTTTTAATCAGCTGCACGTAGCATTCTATCCTGTGACTATTCCCCAGTTGCTTTGTATAATCTGTTACAGATACTGTAGTTTTCTCCAATACTTAAAAATACATAATAATGCCTCAGTGAATGTACATAACAGCTTTGCGCTATGTTATTTTGTGCTTTTGGAAGTATATTGCCACAGTGATCCTTGGGGCTGAGGGTAGGGCCAGCAGCATATGTGTAGACAGCATAGGCGTTTTCTGACTTCCCCTCCTAGGGGTTGGACCGTTGTGGTTCTTCCCAGCAGTGTGTGAAGCTGCCTGATTTTTCACAGCTCTACCAATTAAGTACTCTCAAGCTGCTCAATTTAGCCAATCAGCTGAGAATGGTATCTCAAGTGAGTTTTAGTTTTCAGTTATGACTGAAGTTTTTGAAGCTAAACAGCCTTTCGGTTCTGAGGCCATCTGTACATTTTTTCTGTGAACTGTCTTAGAACCAATGCTTTGTTTGGGTTGTTTTTTAATGGTGCTGGAGAGCGAACCTGGGGTCCCACACATTAGGCAGGTGCTATACCACTGAGCTACGACTCCCAGCCCCAGAACCAGTGCTGTGAACGAGTCTCCAACATTACTTCTAAGGTCCTTACTCAACCAGAGCTGGGGATCAAACTCAGGGCCTCCTTCATGCTGGACGTGTGTTCTACCGCTGAGCTACAGCTCTAGTCTGTCTGCTCCAGCCTTTATGTTTCGTTATATTTATAAAGTATGGGTTAAATAGTCCTTGCTTGGAATGCTTGGGACCAGAAGCGTTCCAGACTACAGATGAGTTCTGATTTTGGACTATGTGTGTAAACATAATGAGATATCTTGGAGCTGAAACATGAATCTAAACACGAATTTCATTTATGTTTCATATGCACCTTATGCAGGTAGCTTGAAGGTAGTTTCATAGAGTACTTTTATGCTTTTAGCGCACCTGTGTTTTGACTGACCTGCATTCATCGAATGAGATCAGGTGTGGAGTTTGCCCCTTGCGGTGACATACCGATGCCCAGAAGGCTTGGGCTCTTGGAGAGTTCTTGCATTCAGGGTGCCCAGCCTGATGTGCTACAGGCACTGTTCTGTACGCATGCGTATGCACCCGTGTTTGCGTATGTAGTGTGTACGCTGTTCTGTCTCTCTGCAGGTCGTGTAAGCTGTTTGCTATGTTGCAAAATTGATGATTATGTTGCCTTATATTCAGTTGGTGAAGGAGAATTCCCCCTTTTTTAACTTCGAGAGAAAAAGACAGGAAGATGCAGAACATTATGTTACAACCACTGATTTATTACATTTTTTTCCTTCAGAATAAAGTAAAATTTCTTTTTAGCTATTGCCATTGGTTCTGGTCTCCTGTTTTCCTTAGAGGTAGTTACTGCCATGAATTTGGTGTGTGTCTCCCTAGTTCATTAAAAAACAAATGAGCCAGGCATGGTGGTGTGGTGCACCGCTGTAATCCTAGCGCTCTGGAAGGCGGAAGCAGGAGCATTGCAAGTTAGAGTCCAGCCTGGGCAATTAGTGACTTAGTGAGATCCTTTCTCAAAATAAAAAACAAGAAAAGAAGGAGGGATGTAGCTGAGTGCAGTGGCCCTGGGTTTATTCCCCAGTCGCGCACACACACTGTGTGTGTATGTATGTATTATGAGTAATACGTAGTATTACTTTTATGGTCCTAAATTGTCATACATGGTATATGTGTGATATAATTCTTTATTATGCCTTTATTTGTACACTATCATGTTTTTGATGTCCACCTATGTTGTCGTATATTCATCTAATCCATACTTGAAATATCTGTTTTTGTGTTAAGCCATTAAGTAAAGTCTAACAATAGGAAACTCAGGTGTTAAAATAATGTCTTACGTTGCTGGAGGAACATGTGACTTCAAGTGTTTTTTTTAACTACTGGAAAAATTGTCACGAAAAGTTGGAATGAGATGTATTAGTAATGTTTTGGGACAATTCTTTTTGTTCTTAGTTCCCATTTTTCTTTCTCTGTGGTAGAAATACATTTATATTTTCTAGAGGGTTCATTAATAATATTATAGAGACAGACTAAAAATAAATTAGGGGCTGAAGCTATATCTTGGTGGTAGAACACGAGGTCTTGGGTCAATCTACAGCACTAAAAGAAAAAAAATATGAAGAGGAGGGAGGGGGCCAGGGACCAAGGACCGGCAGTGTAGTGTGACTCAGTGGCAGAGTGCTTGCCTAGCACGTGCAAAGCCCTAGGTTCAATTTGGAGCAGCAGCAGCACCACTAAAAAAAAAGGAACGTCAATGGTTACCATGGTTTCCTTTTTGGGGCTGCCAGACCCCTGGTTTCCAAAAATGTAGTAATGGATGTTCTTGAGATATGTTTATGTAGTTGAGAAAACCAAGCAGAACACATAGTCAAATTGCCCTTGCTAACTAAAATACCAAGTTTTAGTGACTTTTACCCACTGTTATATCAGGGGATGCCATCACGTGTTGGAAACTGTCAGTTCTGTGTGTTTTTAAAGCAGGATTTTCCCTTTTTCATTTTGTGCATGCATGTGTGTGTGTGCATGTCATGCTGAGGGATTAAATCCAAGGCCTGTCTTACGGCAAGCACGTGCTCTCCCACCGAACTATGCCACCAGTCCTACAGTGATTTTTTTAAAAAGATATATGTGTGTGTGTGTGTGTGTGTGTGTGTATATATATATATATATATATATATATATGTATATATATACTGTTCAAGTATATTGTGAAAGCCGGGCATGGTGGCACATGCCTGTAATCCCAGCACTCGGGAGGCTGAGGCAGGAGGATCGCTTTGAGTTCGAGGCCAGCCTGGGCTACAAAGTGAGTTCAAGGCCAGCCTAATCTGCATAGTGAGACTCTGTCTCAAAAAGACAAAAAAAAAAAAGTATACTGAGGCATGAGTTTTGATAAACATGTTTATGCAGCCAACAGCCCAGGCAGAACATTCCCATCATCCTAAAAAGTTTCTTTGTGCCCTTTCCAGTTTTCTTCCTGACAAGAGGCAGCTACTTGTGTCATTTCTGTCCCTGTAGACTAGCTTTACTTACGCAATTTCATATAAATTAAGTCTTACAGGATATGTCCCTTTGTATGCACCCCCCCATGTTATAAGTTGAACCCAGGGTGTCACTCATGCCAGGCAAACTCTACCACTGGGAGGGAGAGTTTGGCCCCCTCCCTCCCCCATTGCCCAACGCAATGCTTTGGCTGTTCATTCGTGCTGCAGTGGTTCTCTCTCTCTCTTTTTAAAAAGTAGGAAATATTCATTGGTGGGAAGAGGTGCAGCGCCTGAGAGACAGGAGGGTCCCGAGTGGGCTGCCCTCTTTTGTTTCTCTTTCTCCCTTCGCTTCGTGGTGTTTCATTGTATCAGCATGCCGCTATTCATTTATGCATTTTTGATAAATATTTGAATTTTCAAGTTTTTTCTATTAATGTCTGCAATCAATTTTGTACAAGTGTTTTGGTGTCTTCCATTTCCTTTTGAGCAAAACACAGTAGATTTGCTGGCTTAGAAGGCAGGTGTGTATTTTAATTTAATGGTAACAGTTATTGTCACTCAGACTTTGAAGGTCAGCCCTTCAAAACAGCAGGTGTGCAGCGTACAGAAACTCAGAAGCCCTTTGGTTGGGATGTTTCACTGTGGGTTATTTTACCCTCATTGTATTTGGTACAGGGTTGGGGTAGATCTGTACCTTGACTTTCAACTTCTAGGTAAAATCTGATACTGAACATGAGACCCATTTTTACTAATATACTTCTCTGTGTGTTTTTCTTCCCTCTTTGCAATGGACTATTTTAGAAGAAATGGAGCTGTCACCCACATCAAGATTCAGAACACAGGTGACTACTATGACCTGTATGGAGGGGAGAAGTTTGCCACTTTGGCTGAGCTGGTCCAGTATTACATGGAACATCATGGGCAACTGAAAGAGAAGAATGGAGATGTTATTGAGCTCAAATATCCACTGAATTGTGCAGATCCTACCTCTGAAAGGTCAGTGGCATCTTAGTGACCACAGAGTTTGCAGCTCTGCCAGGCCCTGCGTGTTATATGAATATGTTGGGAATGGACCATGGAGTCTGTAATACTCTACAGACTGTCATCTTTAAAGTATTATTAAAGTCAGTAGTTGGGCATAGTGCTGCACACCTGTAATCCCAGCACTTGGGAGGCTGAGGCAGGAGGACTGCTATGAGTTTGAGGGCAGCCTGGGCCACATAGAGAGTTCAAGGCCAGCCTGAACTACATAGCAAGAGTGTGTTAAAAAAAAAAAAGGTAGGAATAATAGGATTAAAATATTTTCACCCTTACAGCATTTAGTTAGTGTTGCTTCCACTCATTCTTCAGGGTCATGTACTTCTTCCTGTGCATACCCAGTACATGCTGTAATTTTAAGATTGATTGAATTAAGCAGATGATCTTTGGGAGTTATTGGAGGAATGCAAATCGTAATGGTGATGCTAAAGTAGCTTGCTGGGCATGGTAGTGCATGATTGTAGAATCCCAGCCCTTGGAAGGCTGAGGTGAGAGAATTGCGAGTTGGAGGCCTGCGTGGACTACATAGTGCGGTCCTGTCTCAGAAGGCCGAAAACCAAAAGCAAAACAAAGCAGTAAAACAAGACAAAAAAACCAAAATACCAGCAGTTCTCTGTGGTGGCTTTCAACCCGTTGTTTAGCAGTGCCACCAACAGATGTCAGTTTAAACCCAGAAATGGAAAAGTGGAGCACGAACCCAGAGGGCCTGTTCCCATCTGTTCCCGTAGCATGACATCCACAAACCTGGGAGCAGGGCCTTGCTTATAGGCAGTTGTATTTTTGTGGAGCTCTTTTCCTGAGTGCTGGGACTAAGCTGACGAAGGCTGGGGCTTGCTTTATTGTAATCGATTGCATTGGTTTTCTAATTCCCAGGCTCCTTTCGGACTCAGTACAAATCCTGTGTCCCTTAATTAGCTTTGTATCTTCAGGTTGTTGCAGCTTTATGTTATTGCTGTCATATGCTCCCAATTTACTTCTTCAGCTACCACTGTAAATCCAAGTGAAAGGCTATCGGCCAACTTTGAAGTTCATGTCTATCTTTTACTCTCGCCTGTTGTGTGTGGATAAAAACTAACTTGGCCTGTTCCTTTAGGGATGAGCCATTGGTGTTAGCTGTCTGACAGCTTGTGCTTCCTTACAGCCAGCCTGAAGGAAAGAGCCATGTTTTAATGTGACTATGTTAAGGTGTTTTCCGTGATAATTTAGAGCAATAGTGTTTAAAAATCTGTCTTTACTCCTGTAATCCCAGCACTTGGGAGGCTGAGGCAGGAGGATCACCACCGAGTTCGGGTTCAAGGCCAGCCTGGGCTACACAGTGAGTTCCAGGCCTGCCTGAACTGACCCTGTCAATTAAAAAAATCTGTCCTTGAATGACCTTGGAAGGCCACCATCAGGACTGTCATGCTGATTAATAGTGCTCATTCCTGGGTTTCATTTGGACTTAGGTGTGTTGCTATCTCTTATCTCCAATTGTGGAGCATAGGAAGTTTTAGCAAAGTCCTACACCCCAACTCCAAGTCTTATGTGCATTAAACTTTGAGGTGATAACCCAGTATACTGTCTAAAGATATCAATAGCACATTCAGAGGCCATTGAGGTCTAGGTTGGAAATAGGGAAAAATCTGGAGTGCTTGAATTAATTTATAATGGTCTTTTGTCACAAAAGCATAAACATCATATTTATCATTTTAGCCATTTTGAAGTATAAAGTTCATTTCCGTCATGGACATTCACATGTTGCGAAGCAGATCTCCAGACTTTTTCCCTATTATCTTTTCTTTCGTTCTTTATTTATATTTTGGGTTTCTCGCATAAGAGAAACCATGTGATATTTAAGCTTTCACTTAACATTAGGGTCTCAAGGTGCATCCATTTTCCTACCAATGACTTGAGTTTATCCTTTATGGCAGAGTAGTGCTCTGTTGTATATAAATGCCACATTTTCTTTCTCCGTTCCTCTGTGGATAGACGTATAGGCTGCTGCCAAGGGTTAGCTACTGTGAATTGTATTTCTATAATCATGGATGTGTGTGTATCACTGTGATATGATGCCTTTAACTCTTGGGAAGATACCTAGAAGGGGAATAGCTGGGTCAAATGGACTTTTTGCTGTTAGTTTTTTGAAGAATCGCGTACTGATTTCCATAATAATTGTACTAGTTTACCTTCTCACCAACAACGAAGAAAGGTTCCTTTTAATCCCCCAGCCTTGCAGCATTTGTTGTTACCTGATTTCTTGATAATCGCCATCTTTCTGGAGTAAGATGGAATCTCAGTGTTTTTTTAAATTGCATCTCTGGCCAGCGATGTTGAACTTTTTTGCTGTATTTATTGGCCATTTGTATTTTTGAGAAGTATCTGTTCATTTCAGTTGCCCATTTCTTGACTGGGTCTTTTATTCTAGGGCGTCCAAGTTTTTTGGTTTTCTTCATATATTCTAGCTGTTACTCCTATGTCCCAGGAATAGCTGGCAAGTTTTTCCCCCATTCTGTAGTTGTCTCTTCACTCTGCTGTTCCCTTTGCTGTGCAGAAGCTTTTTAATTTATTTAATGAATGAAATTCATTGGTACATTTTAGGTATACATAATGACCACGATCACAGGGAATTTGTACCTGTTCAGTGGTACAGCTTGATTCTTTTTTTCCCCTTCCCCTATCCTCCCTTCAACCCTCTTCACCTTTCTTATTTACAAAAGCTTTGTGTCCATTTTTCCTTTTTTTCTCATCATTTTTCTTTCTCTTTCTTCCTTTCCCCCTCTCCGCTTCCTAGTTCCCCTTCCCATTTTCTTCCTATTTCACAGTATCTGTTATACATTTTGGTCCTTATTTACACTTTAGGTTTCTCATGCCAGAGAAACAGTGCGATACTTACACGTGTGTCCGATTGATTTCACTTAAGAGTGCATCCATTTAGAAGCTTTTTAATTTGAAATGATCCCATTTGTTGATTTTTAGGGTTATCTCGTGCAGTTGGGGTTCTGTTCAGATACTCCTTGCCTGTATGTATGTCTTTGAGTTTTACCTATGTGTTTTCTAGCACATTCAGTGTTTCTATTTTAACATGTAGTCTTTGATCCATTTTGATTTTATTTTAGTACATGGTGAGATATAAAGGTCTAGATTGAATTTTTGGCATGCAGATAGCCAGCTTTTTCAGTACATTTTATTAGAGGCTGTCTTTCCTCCAGCGTAAGTTTTTGGCACCTTTATCAAACATCAGGTAGCTGAATGTATGGAGTTGTTTCTGCATCCTCTGTTCTGTTCCATTCATGCATGTCTTTTTTTTGCCAACACCATGCTCTTTTTATATCATGTTATGTTATTTATTTATTTTTTTGAGCCAGGGTCTGGCCTCAAACTCGTGGTGATCCTCCTGCCACGACCTCCTGAGCGCTGGGATTACAGGCGTGTGCTACAACACCCAGCCAGTGTTTTTATCACTGTAGCTTTGTAGTATAGTTTGAAGTCTGGAGTTTTGATTCTTCCTGCCTTGCTTTTGTTGCTCAGGACTGCTTTTACTATTCTAGGTATCTTCTGGTTCTATATGAATTTTAGGATTATTTTCTCTAGTTCTGTCAGGAAGGCGATTGGTATTTTCATTGAGATTTTGGAAGTAGAGCCATTTTGACTATATTGCTTCTGCCTATCCAGAAACAGGAGATATCTATTTTCTGGCATCCTCTTTAATTTCCTTTTTCAGAGTATTGTAGTTTCCATTGTAGAGGTCTTTCACTTCCTTGGTTAGGTTAATTCCTAGGTATTTAAAGTTACTTGAAGCTATTGTAAAAGATACTGTTTTCCTAATTGTTTTCTTCCTCTTTTTTTTTTTTTTTTTTTTTTTGGTCTTTTGAGATAGGGTCTCACTATGCAGTTCAGGCTGGCCTTGAGCTTCCACTGTCCTCATGCCTCAGTTTCCATTTAATATGATGTTGGTGCTTTGGTTTCTCATGAATGGCTGGCTGGCTTGCTCTTCCTTCCCTTCTTTCTTCCTTCCTTCCTTTCTTCCTCCCTCCCTCCTTCCCTTCTTTCTTTTTTTCCACAGGGTCTTGTTCCGTAGTTCAGGATGGCCTTGTACTTACTGTGTAGCCCAGGCTGGCCTTGAATCCTCTTGCTTCAGTCTCCTGAGTGCTGGGAGTACAGGTGTATACCACCACACCTGGCTGTCCTAAATGGCTGTTATCAGATTGAGATAAGGTCCTTCTGTACCTATTCAGGTTTTTTTTTTAAATCATGAATGCATTCTGTCTAAAGTTTCTGTGTCAGTTGAGATGATCATGTGAATTTCTGTTTATGTGGTGTACTACAGTTATTGATTTGTGTATATTGAATCATCCCTGCATCCCTGGGATGCATCACACTTGGTTGTGATGTATGATCTTTTTGATGATGCATCCTGTTTGCAGGTATCTTCTTGAGGAGTTTTGCATTGATGTTCTTCAACATGTTGCTGCCAACTTAAACTACCCATGCTGCATGCATGACTGTCCCATCATGTGGCTTGAACCACTGGTGGTTAGCTCTTTAACAACAGATGATAAAAACTAAGGATGGTGGCATACACCTGTAATCCCAGCACTCGGGACGCTGAAGCAGGAGGATCACTACGAGTTCGAGGCCAGCTTGGGCTACGTAGAAAGTTCAAGACCAGTCTGAACAACATAATGAGACCCTGTCTCAAAAAACAAAACAAAAAAATCAGATGATGGAATTAAAATCACAGTTGCGTAGCAGCAAGACATACAAATTATTGTAAACATGTTAAAGATATTGGCCTATAGTTCTCTGTTTTGCTTGGGTCCTTTTCTGGTTTTGGAATCAGGGTAACCTTAGCTTCCAGGAATGACTGGGAGTATTGCTTCCCTTTCAGTTTCATTAAAGAGTTGGAAGAGTAGTGATGTTAGACTTTTCCTGAAGTTCTTGTACAATTCAGGATTGAATCTGTTGGGGCTTGGGCTTTTCTTAGTTGGTAGGTTTTTAAAAAATTATTATTATTACTCCTTCAGTCTTACTGCCTGACATTGTGTTATTTAGGATTTTTGTGCCTTCTTACGTAGCTTTGGTAGTTTGTATGTATTTAAGAATCTATCCATTTCTTCTGAATTCTCCACTTTATTAGAGTACAGGTTCTCAATAATATTACTGATTCTTACTAATAATCTTCTGGATTTCGACAGAGCCTTTTGTGATTTTGCCTTTTTAATTTCGAATTGATTTGGGTCTTTTTTTTCTTTATCTTGTTAAGATTGGCTAAGAGTTTGTCTGATTTATTCTTTCAGAGAACTAGCTCTTTCATTCATTGATTCTTTGTATTTTAAGTCTCAATGTCATTAATTTCTGGTCTTATCTTTATAATTTCCTTCCTCGTACTAGCTTTGGATTTGGGTCATTCCTGTTTCTCTAGGGCCTGAAGGTGCATCACTGGGTTATTCACTTGGGCTCACTCTGTGTTTCTGATGTAGGCATTCTCAGCTAGAAACTTTTTTCAAAGGACTGCTTTCATTGTGTCCTATAGGTCCCAGTTTATTGTACTGTTGTTATCATTGGATTCTAGGAACTGTCTAATTTTTTCATTGATTTCTTTTGTGACCCATTGATTATTTGAGAGGATATTGTTTAATTTCCATGGATTTTCTGTGGCAATCAAATAATTTTCTGTGATTTCTTTTGCCATTGATTTCTAGTTTATTGCACTGTGGTGATAACACACGTTGGATGATTTCGATTCTTTGGCATATACTTAAGCTTCCTTTATGAGCTAACGTGGTCTTTTGGAGAAAGCTCCACGTTCTGCTGAGAAGAATATGTATTCTGTTGTTGCGTGGAACACTGTAGATGTCTATTAAGTCTATTTGTTTGAAGGTTTGGTTCAATTCTGATATCTCTGATATTTTTATTTTTTTGTCTAGTTCAATCTGCAGTACTTCCAAAAAAAAAATTCATGATCATTCTTACCTTGTTTGTCATTTTTCCTACTTGTATGAGATGCCAATTCTGTTGATGGAGCATCACTCTGTCCCTGGGAAGAATATCTGTTTTTACATTAAGTTCAGGAGAGCTGACTGTATATGGTAATTTAGAGAAAGAACATTGTGAATTGATGGCTGAACTCAATTCATTTTCATTTTAAAACATTTTAGGTGGTTTCATGGTCACCTCTCTGGGAAAGAAGCAGAGAAATTACTAACTGAGAAAGGAAAACATGGTAGCTTTCTTGTCCGAGAGAGCCAGAGCCACCCTGGAGATTTTGTTCTCTCTGTCCGCACTGGTGACGACAAAGGGGAGAGCAATGACGGCAAGTCCAAAGTGACCCACGTCATGATCCGCTGCCAGGTAAAGCCCCGGGTCCAGGGGAATGTTGTTCCTGAGTGTTTTTTCTGCAAAGAGAAGACAGATGCCATTACATCCAAAATCTGATTTTCTTTGTTCTTTTAGCCCGGACCTTCTATTCTGTTAGTATGTTGTGTATTGGGATTGTTTTGTCACTTCAAAACTCGTGTTTTATTTCCGGTCTCCGCTGGCAGATGAACTTGTGCTTGAGGGTATTGCCTCTGCTCTGGAGTGTTTATTCTGTTCCTGTGAGACAGCTGCCAGAGCTGCTCCAGGTCTCCAGGCTGAGCAGCCCCAGCTCATCCCCAGGATTGTCACAGTCTAGCCTGGCACTGTCCACCAGGCCCTTTGTATCTGTGAGTGCCGCATCTGTGGGTTCACCTGCTGGGAATAAAAAGCATTTGGGAAAAGCAGTTGTTTCTGTACTGAACATTTGCGACTTGTCGTTTTGGTCATCATTCCCTAAACAATGCAGGATAACGACGCTTTATGTAACATTTGTTTTGTGCCGGCCTCCCTATATGAGATATTTATTATAAGTCATCTAGACATGATTTAAAGCCTACAGAAGGATATATGTGGGTTACGTGCAGATACTGTGCTGTTTCATTTTGGCTTAGTCCCCTTCTTTGGTGCTGGGTTTTGTTTTTTTTTTTTTTTTTTTTTTTGGTGCTGGGGTTGAACGTGGGGCCTTGTGCTTTCTGAACAGGAGCTGTATACCCCTACCCGGACGTTTTGTTTTGCTTTGAGTCTCTCCCCTTGGCCTCCTCCCCTATGTACTACTGCAACTGTTTGATCTATTTTTAGGGGAGAGTCAGGCTTTGAGTTTCAAATGGAAAAAAGTTAGTTTTTCTCAGTTACGCTAATTGATGTAGCCATGGATAGTTGCCCTCTCTTTGGAAGTGGAAACACTTGAGATCTGCTCTGTGAGCAAGTTTCAAGTGTGTAAGACGTTGTTATTAACATAGTCATCGTCCTGTACCCAAGGCTCGGAGACTTGTTCATCATGCTGACTGTTCGTACCTTTTGACACTTGTCTCCCCCTTTCCCACTGCCGAGTCCCTGACAACTGCCATGATGCTCTGTTACTCTGAGTTGGATTTTTTTTTTTTTTTCCAGATTTCACATAAAAGTAAAATTGTGTAGTATTTGTCTTTCTGTGCCTGGCTTTTATCCTTCAGGCTCACCCAGGTTCCAAATGATAACGTCTCCCCCTACTTTTTAAAACTAATATTCCATCGTGATTATAGCACATTCCTTTCCGTTATATAGAGAACACACCTTCCCCATTTTCATTCAGTGACCATGAGAACCAGTGTGGGACAACCAGTGATTAATGTAATGGTAATAACCATCGTCTCTTTATCTTGGAAGGAACTGAAATACGATGTTGGTGGAGGAGAACGCTTTGATTCCTTGACAGATCTGGTGGAGCATTACAAGAAGAACCCTATGGTAGAGACATTGGGCACAGTGCTCCAACTCAAGCAGGTGAGCCTGTTGGAAAACTAAAAGCTCCTTCTCAGAGTTTTAAAAACACTAATTTTTTAAAAAAACCTTTGTCTTTTTGTTTTTTGAGACAGTATCTCGCTGGTTTAGGCTGGCTCTGAACTCATGGTGATCCTCCTGCCTCAGCCTCTCAAATGATTGGATTACAGGCATGCACCACCACGCCTGACCTAAAAATGCTAATATAAAAAAACCCAAAAATCCCAATACAGAATTTTCCAAACATACAGAGCGTGTCAGTCAGCTTTTTGTCACTGCAAGAAGATACCCGGGGGAATCAGCTGAATAAGGGAAGCGTTCATTCTGGCTCTGGGTTTCAGAGGTCTCAGTCCATGGTTGACCCGTGGATTTGGGGATCTGATGGTACCGTGCATCATGGTGGGAGAGCGTGGAGGGGGGGCCTGTTACCCTTACGGTGGCAAGAAAGCAAAGAGGCAGAGAGAGTCTGCGCCTAATTCCTAACTTCCTCCCACTCTGCCTTGCCTACTACAGTGTCTCCCACATCCCAGTAGTGCGGTGGGCTGGGGACCAAGCCACCTGCACTTGGGCCTGGGAATATTGAAGATCTGTAATATACTACAGAAGTAGACAGCATTGGTTTCCATGTCCCCACACCAATCTTCAGTTATGATCAACTGTTTATTACTCTGCTCACTGTTAGCTCTTATGATATTTATGGGTTTGTGATTGTTCTTTTTTTTTTCTTACTGGGAATTGAACTCAGAACCTTGCCCCTCCCAGACAGGCACTTGTGCAGCTGCTGTTGGTTTTTTTGAGACAGAGTCTTGATTTGTAGTGCAGAGTGCCCTTAAGTTCACTGTATAGTTCAGGGTGTCCTTGAACTCATGGTGATCCTCCTGCCTCAGCCTCTTCAGTGCTGGGATTACAGTGATGCACCATCAGGTCTGGCATTCCTCTGTGATACTTAGAGATACAAGTTCTCTTGTATCTCACAGAGATTTCACAAGTATCTCACAGAGATACTTCTGTGATACAAGTTCCAGATGTTATATCAAGTCCATGTGTATCTGTAAAAGTCCTTGAAGAGTTAGTTTTTTGTTTTTTGAGCTTCTTTGTTGGTGCTGGGGATCAAACCAAAGGCCTCACGCTTTTTTTTTTTGTCTTTTTGAGACAGGGTCTCGCTATGCAGTTCAAGCTGGCCTTGAGCTCACTGTGTAGCCCAGGCTGGTCTCGAACTCTCCAACGATCCTCCTGCCTCTGCCTCCTGAGTGCTGGGATTACAGGCGTGTGCCACCACACCTGGCTGGCCTCATGCATATTAAACATGTGTTCTACCACTGAGATACTCCCATAGCCTTCTTACAGCGTTGTGGGTTTTTTTTTTTTTTTTTTTTTTGCTTTTTTTGTTTTGAGACCGGATCTCACTGTGTAGTCCCAACTGGCCTTAAATTTGCAGTCTTCCTGCTTCAGCCTCCCAGGTGCTGGGATTGCAGGTGTGCAGCACCAATCCTGGCTCTCCTTACAGAGTTTTAAAAGAAAATTTTCACTCTAGGTCACTTCGGTTAGTTACCTTCAGGTGTTCACACTTACTAACTGTAGAGTTGTTATTTCAAAGTGCACCCTTTTAACAGCAGCAGTTTTTTCATTTCTAAATCACATTGTGGTCTATTTATAAGGAAAAATAGGTGAATTTATATTAGTGGGGAAAGTATGCGTGAAGACTGAAGAAGGCTATATATATAGTATTTCCCAACAGAACAGAGAAGAAAGTGCAACTGGGTTTGAAGACTTCCGTTGTAAATCACCATGTCCTGTGAATTGCCTGCCTTTGCCTTTGTGAATACAAACATTAAAGTCTTTTTCCCCTCCGCGTTAACACCATTCTAAAAAGCATTTTCTCCCTTCCCACCACCTGCTGCACTTGGATAGCCCCTCAACACAACTCGTATCAATGCTGCCGAAATTGAAAGCCGGGTTCGAGAATTGAGCAAATTAGCGGAGACCACAGATAAAGTCAAGCAGGGCTTCTGGGAAGAATTTGAGGTAAGTTATGAAGGAAGTGTGTGTACGTGAGGTATGAAATCCGTTTCTAATGGCAGAGACGTTGGCCTTATGTTTGGACTTGGATCTGAGAGACCTGACATCTTTTCTTAATTCTGCCGTTGATTGACATGGAGTGAGCTGCTGACGGGGCTTCTTTGAAATAGAAGAGCATTGTGTTCTCAGGCAAGGAGTTGGCAGTGAGCACTGAGTGGATGAGCCAACAGCTCCATTTGGCTCTTTTGGTTTGAGCCGCTGGCAAAACCCCAGAAAACCGAAAAGATCGTGTTTGTCTGGAAGATTTCCCAGCATTCACTGTGTCTTTAGAAAGACTCCTTACCCTTATTGCATTGAAAGAGTGAAAGAGAAATACCTCCTGTTTGCTTTCAGTGGGTAGTTCAGATGGACAGCTTCGGGAATCTCGGTAGACTGATTCCTCTCTTGGCACCTACTTGGGTAGGAGAGCGTCCCTGATGAAAATGGCCCATGTCCTGGTGGACTCCTTACCCGTCCACACTGCAGTGTCTTTCTGGTTGAGAGAGGGAAAACAGCGATGAAAGGCTTCGGTGAAAAAGCAGCGATAGCACAAATCCGAATTTTATTTATTTTTAGTTTACTTTTTTGGTGTGGGGCAGGAACCTAGGATGTCATGCGCGCTAACCATGTGCTCTGCCCCTGAGCTACACCCCTAGCCCTCCCAGTTTTTTATTTTTTTATGTTTTTAGTTTAAAAAATTTTTTTCTTTTTTTTTTTTTGAGACAGGGTCTGGCTGCACAGTCCAGACTGGCCTCGAAGTCACTGTTCAGCCCAGGTGGGCCCCAAACGTGAGTGGTCCTCCTGCATCAGCCCCCGAGTGCTGAGTGCGGGGATTGCAGGTGTGTGCCACCGTGCCTGGCCTCTCACTTTTTTAATCCTTCAGAGATGTGTAGTCAAATTGCTGCTACGCCTCCCACGCATTCGTAGTAGTCCCCTGTGTGGTCGGACACTAACTGGACTTCAGCTTAGCCTATTTGTTTCATTTTACATTTAAATTTTAGGAATTTATTTCTATTATGTTTTATTTATAATTATGTAGTATATTGTTTGATTTTTTTGAATCAAGTCTGAAAAGAAGTTTGCCTTTTAGCGTTATCCTTTCCTTCCTATATTTTGTTACAGTTTAAAAAGTTACAGTTTTTCATTACATTTTCACAAAATAAGCAAGTAGGTGTATATTTTTTCTCTGTGTATATATATATGTATATATACATATATACATACATATATATATTTTCTAAGATAAATAGTGGTGTTCTTGACATACTTTTTCTGGCGTTGCTTTTTGTCAGTACCTTAGACACTGCTGCATTGTGACGTGAGAGTCAGCCTTCATTTATTTCCATTACTGCATTGTACTCCATTGTACAGTGGCACCATCGTTTATGCAACTTGCTGTCGAGTTCTTGGGTAGTTTCCAGATACATTACATAGAGGATCACAGTGCATAACCTTGTGCATGCGTCTTTTCTATTTTTGCCGACCAATTTTTTTTTTTTTTTTTCGCTTTTGATCCAAGTTCTCACTATGTAGCTATTCTCTTGCCACAGCCTCCAGAGTGCTGGGGTGATAGGTGTGCACCATCATGCCTGACTTGCTGACCACTTTTGATAATAACATTTTAAAGTATTTTTTATGTTTCTTGTTAAAATAATGATTGTTACTCTTTTATTATATGCATGATTTTGGTTGACATATGTAACGTCTGAAAAATGCTGTTTTTGAAATTTTTTGCTAACTATAAGGAATGTAGAGCTATTTTGTAACTGAGACCTTCTCTTTCCCCTTAGTGAGGAGTGAACATGGGGCTTTACACTGAGCTACATCATCAGCCTTTTTAAAAATGTTTTGAGACAGGATCTTGCTAAGTTGCCCAGGCTGGCCCAAACTTGTGATCCTCCTGGTTCAGCCTGCCAGAGTGCTGGGATTACAGGTGTGTTCCATCGTACCCAGCTTCTAGACCTAGTTGTATTTGTGTAATTTTAAATTTAAAAAAGTTTTATTTCTGTCAGTACATGTTTGCAGTACACAATGATTATCATAGGCCAATTTTTAGTTTTATACTTCATTTAAAGAATAATAGCAAGGCTGGTGGTACAGCTCAGAAGTAGAGCACTTGCCTCTTGCCTGGCATGCACAAGGTTCTGGGCTTTACCCCCAGGAGTGCAAAAATACATCTGTGTATCTTTGTGTCCTGAGCTGGACACAACTGTGCACACCTGTAGTCCAAGCTACTCTGGAGTGTGAGGCAGGAGGATTGCTTGAGCTGAGTTTGACGCCAGCCTGGGCAACGTAGAAAGACCCTGTCCCAAACAAGCAAGGAGACAGAAAGCCAAAGTTACCAATTGCACGAAGGACTCTTCCTTTGTCTTTTTGTTTGTTTGTTTGTTTTGTTTTTCTTCCAGTACCAGGAATTGAACTCATGGCCTTGCTCTTGCCAGGCAGGCGCTTTGCCGCTGAGCTAAATCCCCAGCCCAAGGACTTTTCCTTTAAAGTGATGATCAAGTTAAAAAATTAGAACACTGAAGTGAATATTTTTTCAAAAATTGTAGTATTTTAATTATATATCATTCCATACTTATTTTCTTGTCATATTGGGGATTGATTGAACTCCGGGACTGCTGAGCTACATCCTCAGCCCTTTTTTATTTTTTTTTATTTTGAGACAGGATCTCGATAAGTTGCCCAGGCTGGTCTTAAACTTTTGATCTGCTGCCTCAGTCTTCTAAATAGCTGAGATTTCAGGTGTGGACCAGCATGCTTGGCCCAAAATTAACAGCATTTTTAAAAATTACAAGTTATATTGAGGAAAATTAAAAACTACACGGTGCCTGGTACAGTGATGGATACTTTAACATGAGGTTCCTTGAGAATAATGCTTAAGGAAGCAAGTTCTAAACTTCCCAAGGAGCTTGTGGTTGTGGTTTTTTTAAACAGGGTCTAGCTCTGTAGTCCAGACTAACCTCAGACTTGCAACACTCTTCCTGCCTCAGCCTCCCGAAGTGCTGAGATGAGAGGTGTGCGTCACCATGCCCAACTAGGCAGTGGGTTTTTTTCATGATCCACTTGGTGGGTTAAGATGTGAGTTCACTTGCTGTTCCAGCCATGGAAAAAGATGGCATTTATAGATGCTGACCTGATGGTTTTGCTCTGTGATGTGTCATTTTCAGTCTGCCTGTCACATACATCATTAACAAAAGGGGAGAAATGGAGTTGGCCTGGGGGAAATGGAAAGCAGCGAGCTCACATCTGTACACCCTCTGTGTGGAGGTCACACTGCGGTGGTAAAATGGTTGCACACTGAATCAGGACATTAAGGTTTCATGCTATGGAAACTGTCTGAAAAGCTTTCTAGAGCTCTTCTGTCCTTATTTCTTTAGTTCATCAATTTTAAAAAATGGCCCTTTGATAAAGGCTGGAGCCAGGCGAGTAAGGCTGAGAACAGAACAAACCATTTAAAAAAAAAAAAAAAAAAAATCAGATACTTGGAAGCAGATACTCATTATAATTTAAATCCCCTGGAACTGGAGTTTGATCCACAAGTGGACGGCGTGATGCTGTTAGCAATTACACCTTCAGCAGTTTCTGCAGAGGTGATAAATTTGGGATCACACTTTTTTCACACCGTGGTCTGATGGTCTGTAGAGGAAACCCGCACTCTAAATTTCCATGCCATTTTTACTTCACTTCTGGCAACCTTTTGTTTTTTATTTTTTGTTTGTTTTTCTCCCGGCACCAGGAATCGAACTGACGACCTTGCGCTTGCCAGACAGGCGCTTTGCCGCTGAGCTAAATCCCCAGCGCCCCCTGGCAACCTTTTATTTTTCTATTTTCTGTGCCCAGCTCCTTATTCTTTGCTCATGTGTATGTGTCATTTGAGGTATATTTTCCCAGAGGGCATTTATGAATTACTTTTGCTTTGGACACTTCTTAAAATATGAAGCTCTTTGTGCTACTCTTCGGTTCTTTTCTCCTTCACTGCAGGCTGATGATTTCTTTGTAGGATATATTGTATGATCAAGACTCTGAATTTGATCTGAATTTTCTTGGTGTTTGCCCGTTTGTGATTTGTGTCATCATCCGTGTCTCTTGTGTATCTCTGCTTGTGAATGTACAAAGGTGACTCTTAAGCCAGGTGCACACCTGTAATCCCAGCTGCTCAGGAGACTGAGGCAAGAGGATCACAAGTTGGAGGCCAGCCTGGGATATACATAGCAAGACCCTGTCTCTAATAAAAATTTTTTAAAAGGCAGGAGGTGTTGCTCAATGTTCGCTCGGTTTAATCCCCAGTACTGTGGAAAAAAAAAACGTAGCTATCAGATGGGTTGAAACAACATTTGATTCAGATGAGTCTGACAGTGAATAACGGAGAAGGCAGGTTACGGTTTGTAATTCTGTGCCTGCAGTGTGCATGCGATTTGAGGCTTGAGCCAGGCTGCACACGAAGATGTGGCTGCATTTACACAGCATTTGCCCTCTGTGCTGAGCTGCCAGGGCACCCTGTGGGTTGAGCCTGGGCACTGGCGTTGAGTGCAGGGCCTGCAGGAGCCAAGTCGCAGGCGGTGATCTTGCGGCTGTCGTTGGGCCTTACCATCTCCAGCCACCCTGATCCTCCTACTCCTTGCTCGCTTCATACCTGCTTCATTCTCATTTACTTTCAGCAGATTCTTCTGCTTCTTGACTGACTCATCAACCTTACATCATCACATCCTTTGCAGATCTTGAAACTAACAATTTCCATCTTCATACCAGTGGTTCAGAGATTCTCTGGCCCAGATGCCATCCATCTGTGCTCCACAGAGTGTGTGCCAAGGACACAGTGACACAGAACACGTAGGTCTGCTCAGACCACCCTGTTTGGGGTGAAATAGTTGTCAGAGACCAGGATTGTAGCAAGCTGGCAGACACGCCAAAAAGATCTCCCAGGCACCACACACACTGCGCACAGCAGTGAGTGATTTCCTGCA